GCAGACGAAGAATATTGACAGGATAACGACCGAACGGGCGGCTTACGCGTGTTGGCGGTTGGTTGTGACCAATCAGAGTGACCATGTCGTGATCTTGAAGGTGATTCCACTCAAAGTTGTGATGGGAGAACAAGATTTCCGGCGAAAAAGAAATTCAAAGTTGCTGAGAATGAAATTTTTTGTTTTATCTTGTAAAATCTGACAGTAAATTTGCTGAATGATTGAATTTGTCAATGTTGACGATCCGACTCGAGTTTGGAGAAGTGTTTATCTCTTTCGATTTACGTCCGTTTAATGGAAGCTGTCGATTTTTCTTCGTTAATTTTGAGAAGCCCATTTTTATATTTCAACAAGCACTTGAAAATGATCCCATGACCTTGATTATTATTTAAAAAAAATTGAGTTTGGGATGCAGTATTTAACTGGAATGTGATGTTGTGTAACAAGGATAAAGAAATTGGTCGATTCTCGTCGCGTTATTGGGTTCAACCCATCCTGGGTTTCACCTTTTTGTGAATTGAAAAAGGAGAGATGAACTACAGTACCGTACTCGCAGATTGTGAGTCTGCAGTTCGAGTGTCCCGAGGTTCAATTTGAGAGGCTACAACCTAAACAAGAGAAGCACTTGCGCATTTGTTTCTGGATTAGTGGAGACACTGATTTTGGTGAGAGGAAGACGAGCCAGAATGGCAACTTTCTGTCTTTGGAAACCATCATGCAGTTGCTGAGTTTGAGGAAAGATCAGGTTTTTTTCAATCCCCTATGTGCAAAATCGAATCTCAAGATCTGACGGAATGTAAGAGTACTGTATTGATTTTTTTTTTCTGGAAAAAAAAAGGTGGTGATCATGGCTGCGGCCTTGCCAAGCTGTTCGCCAAACGCGGAAGTGCATGACATGTCTGCTGTGTTTTTGGTGCATTTTTTTTTATTATTGTTGCACAGTAAAGTACTTTGTAATTCGTCAATGATGACGTTGTTTTGTTTGCAGGATTGTTTTGGCCGGAAGGAGTTTCACAGGATCAGCATGTCAGGAAAGGGAAGAGACGTTGTAAGTGTGCTTTTTAAAAAAAAAAAGTTCTGCGGACGAGTTGTGTAACAATGTACCGTAAAATTCCGTTATAATGAATTTTTTTCTTGGTCGGGCGGTTTTTTCATGGGGACATTGTAATACAATTTTTTTTATAACAAACTGAATTTATTCTGTAATCTTGGTATAACAAATGTTTGCCTTCGTTAAGCCTGCATGGGCCATGAAAAATTTCAACAATTGGCCTCATATTGGAAAAGTCCAATTTTTGCATAATTTGAAAAACTACCAAAAATGTAAATGCTAATATTTTTTTTGTAAAAAATTTAGCATTCCACGAAGTAATAAGCAATGTTTATAATTTATTTAGCCTTGTTTTAAACTTCAGAAATGGCTAATTTTTGATCAAAAAGTATGTTTGGAAGGACACTGCTCTATTTCAAGGAACACCCTGTTCTCTTGATGACTAAATGTTCTTCGTACCCATGTATTTTCTGTTCGCTTCAGCTTATACTTTTCTAAGATCAGTATAATTTTTAAAATATGGTATTTGAGAAAGTGAAGGTCGAAAAGAAGATAATTGTATTTCATATCTTGAATTTTCTTGGTCATTTCATCGAAATACGTTTTAAAAAGCACGCAGTTTTTAACGAATTTGTTATGGAAATACCTTGAATCAATTATTGCCTGTTTCCCGCAAAATTGCAGTCCCATGTGATCCAAAAAATAGCATATTACGAATTTTTTCTCAGGTCCCTAGGAGTTCAATTGTAACGAGATTTTTTTTTTGTCTCATGTTTTGTAGATGGAAAATGATCATTTGTTGAGATCACCGAGTCAACCGGACGTCCTTGGCAGAATTTGGCAGATGTTTGGGCTCCAAACGGATGTTCTCGGAGACTCCTTGTGTGACCT